AATGCATGTCAAACTCTCTAAACACCTTCTTATGTTCAGTTTCAAGCAACCTTCACCAGCATCTTTTGGACTAGTATGTTTGCAAGGCATCTAATGGTGATGTCAGGGGGTATTGGGTATTGCACCTGCCTACCTGTTCAGCCAGTAGGAACACTGGGAAAGACCTCAAATGATGCTGAAATCCCAGAGAATAACAGTAACTTGAAAATATTCAACCAGGATAAGAAGAGAAATAAGACCATCCAAGAGAGGTTAAAACATCAAGCCACAGTGAGGGGTCTGTGGATGCTGGGGGTAATGAAGAACAATGCCCTGCTTTAGTCCTGCCAGTTTCTTTCTTGCCCTATCCTTGCAACAAAAAGAAGAGAAGGTTCTCATAAGAAGGAAAATGCTTTTGTGCAAAACAGCTTGTTGACCTGCTCTTTCCTGAGGCTGCTGAGTGAAATCATTTAGCAGGGTTATAAAAGGGTTGGCTAGAATGTGGGTGTTAATAGCATTTGCAGCTATGTAAGCAGCAGTAACAACAGCAGAGTAATCAAATCTCATCTTTCAGAGGGGAAGTTGATCACCTGAGTGGGTCTGGGATTTCCTCTTGCACCATTGCCAGGTATCTTCACAGGCTAATTGAAATGTCGAGTGCAGTCTGGGGCCGGGGGCATGGCAGTGGCTGGATGGATCTAATCTCTGAACACACAGCAGCTTGGTCACACTCCTGCCCTGAGGCTTGATAGCTCCCTGGGTGCTGCTGGCTCTTATCTCTGGCTTTCTGCTTTTTTTAATTTTTTTTTTTCTCTTGAACTGTGCTTCAAGTGCATTGCTCTGGCAGAGTCATAACTGTTGGGTGAAATTTCTTCATCTGAACTTGCAGCTTCCTTTGCTGACTTTTAGCCCAAGAGCAGTAAAAAGCATGGCTGAGAAGAGGCAGGCATGATGCTCGTGCCTGACCAGACCCTAGGCAAGAGCCATCTCCATCTTATTTTCTCTTGGTACAGCTTTTCTGTCCCTCAGTGGTTGACTCACTGGAGCTGTGGGCAACTGGCTCCAGACTGGCTGCCTCTTGCAGGGGCACTGCTGTAGGATGCAGCATCTGTTTCAGCCTCCTTTTCAGCTTCTTTGCCTTTTCTTTGTATTCAGCTGCCTCTTATTTCCAGTAGGAAGCTCAGGTCCTGGGGGCTTCCCATCGTGAATCCAGAGGAGCAGCTGAGGGTTGGGCATTTGGATCCTCAGCTGGGCTTCTGCCAGCCAGCCTGATGGGAACAGGGACAAAAAGGACCACTTTTCTCTGAGGAAGAACCACCTTCATGGCAGTGGTTGATCCCTGTGAAGGGACCATTGGGGTACAAAAGTAGAAAGAAAGATGGACAGAGGTCTCTGCTTGTAGAGAGGAGATTGGACTGATGCCAAGGAGGGAGGAGTATGTGGCAGCAAGTCTGGCTGCTACTTCTGGCAAGCTGTGCCTGCATCAGTGCTGCCTTCCTTGGAGGTGTTTGAGGTGAAAAAATAGCCTTGGAAAACAATTGGTGTGCTTCAGGAAGTGGTGGGAAATGCTTTGGGAAGTGAAGCCCAGAAGAGAGGAGGGCAAGGTGCTGTCTCATGCATCTGTGTGACAGGCTGGTGGCAGCAGTGCCTGGCCCAGCATCTTCCCCTGACTTTCAGACAGGCTCTTCCCAAGCCTTTGATTTCTGCCTTCATGGGGGATTATTTTTTTTGGTTTTTTAGAGGGACTGGAGCAAAACCATCAAAACTAACAGTACTGGCCTTCCTTCTTAGCAACACTGAAGTGTTTGCTGAGGTATTTTAGTTCTTGACTCCTGCTTTTTTCCAGGCCTAGGCTTGTTGGCTTTTAGTCATCAAGAGAGTGCTCAAGGTAGTGAGCAGTGCTCAGGGAGAGCTTGAGGACAGGCTGAACCTGTGGTACATCACCGTGCCCAGGTGCTCCTGAGATGGGGCAGTGGACGTGGCCTCAGGGCTCCCCTCTGCAGCTGTCACACAGCAGTGGAGACCTGCAAGACCATACCTGGAATCCTGTGACATGCTGTGGAGAAAACCGTGGTGAGCAGTTGCCTCAGGAGGTGCTCTGACTGCAGGAAGCTGCAGGAGGTCTGAATTTTCTGTGGTTTCCTCCCTTTAGTGAGGAAAGCATGGGCAAAACCAGGTCATTCTTCAAGGGTGTCCCATGGAGACCCCCAGGGAAAAGCCAATCTTTCAGAAGGAACTGGAGTGCCAAGAACTTTCTCTAAGGGGAGTGTTGATCCTATTATATTCTGAAAATAATTTCCTACCACGCTGGAGATTTGGCTTGTCAAAGCACAAATTACCCAGCAAGGAAATCCCTGCCTCCAGATTAATTCGTAGCTCCTTTGTCTGTTCTGTGCTTGGCTGATGTGTTAGGTAAATATTTGTACAACACAGAGAATTGCCTCCCTTTCTTCTCTTTTCCAAGGGTCAAAGAAATGTCAGCCATTGGCACTTCTGTGCAGCCAGGCTTCTGTGTTTGCTGGGAGGCAGGCTGCATGCCAGCCATGGAACAGCCAGAGGGGCTGGCTGTGGTGGCCAGCAGCCCTTCCCAGAAGAGGCAGGGTACTGATGCTTTGTCCTGAGCTTATTCCACAGGGCAGTGAAGTGCTGAGTTGAACAATGAAAACAAATAACCTCTCCCCTCTGCACAAGAGAAAAAAAACCTGCCGCTCTTGGTGTCTTCCCTCCGTGGATCTCCAGGGGTGAACTGACTTCTGTTGCCTATTTTTTTTTCCTGATTTACTTGTTTCCTCTCTGGCCAGCTGGGCTTCAGTGATCCTGGTGGCTCCCTTGCAACTCAGGATATTCTACAGTTCTATGGGTATATTCTCTGAGAAAAAAACCTGCTGTTCTCTCCCACTATTATAAGGAGCCCTCAAAGCAGCAAGTGCTGAATTTCACATGAACTACAAAATCTGTTTCAGCCCCATTCCGAGTATGCCAGTTGCAGGACACTCACAAACAGTAGTTTCTGCCTCATTGCTCTGAACAAGGGGGAAGCTCACCAGTTACACATAAAATTATATAAAGACAAAGGAATTTCTCCTGTTTTCCCATGACAGTCAGTCCATGAAGCACAAGTTGTGGTTAGCTGCATTAATCAGTAGGTTACTCACCCAGTAACTGAAAAATCTTCTGCAGAAGATAAATACTGACCTTGGTATTTTTAGTCATAAATTTAAATGCATAGCTTCAAATCATGAATCTGGGGGTGAGAAGATCTTGATCAGAAATTTGTGACTGTTCAGAATCTAACAGACCTGAATGAAACCCGCACATCCAAGCCAACACCCACATCAGGAAAGCAGGACACCCTAGTTGGCTCTGAGCCTTGTCTCTCACTTGAATCTCTGACTATTTTCATGTTTTTCACATTTTTTGCACTTTCTTTTTGTTAACTGCCCCCCTTTGATCAGCACACCATAGGAGGCAGCTTTCTGCTCATCTCTGGCAGACCCTGTGGGACCCAGGTTCAGGAGCAAGTAGAGACAGAGTTTTGGAAGCTTGTTTGCAGTTACAATAACTGGCCAAGAGCTTAGCACAGCCAGGGAGGGGGATCTGGCCAAGGGCTGTTTGTCAGTTCTAGTTCCTGGGGTGGTTTGGGGTTTTCCTTGGCCTCTGTTAGCCCAGAGATGTTTGGGGGATGATCTAAGCCACGTGCCTTGTAAAAGCCCCCTCCAAAGCAAGCAGATGGACTAAGGCACAGCGAGTCTCCTGTGCTGCAGATTGGGTGGGCAGGATGCAGGTAGGTGGATTGGGTGAAGATGGCTGTGCTACTCATGGAACAGCAGGTGTTTCCCCAGCAGTTCTTCCCCCTCAGGGCATGTTCCTGCCACTTCTGGCTGTAGGAATAGTGTAGAAGGCTCAGACCATTCATCTAAACACTCAGACTTGAAGCTGTTGGGATGGTTCCCTGTATATACCAAGGCAGCCAACTTCTTTGGGCTTCCTAGAGCTTTGGGGGTGATTTCCAGTTGTAAAGAAAATGGGGAGAGAGCCTGGCTGCTCTCCCTGGTGTGTGGGTATTGAGCTGGTTTGCCATCAGCCTGGGAGAAGCCAGGGCTGATGGAGATTTTGGAACTCCACTGAGGCTGGAGCTGCCATGTGGCATGGGCACAGCACTGAGCTGCTGGCAGGCTGGTCACTTACTGCTAAGTGCCAAAATGTTGTCAGATCTGAAAACCACATAGTGTGAGGCCCTGTAGGCCTGCTGGGAGGTCTGAGCTCTGCTCACCAGCACTGTCTCATTGGTGATAGGGGCAGCAGGCACAGGGAGAGCCACAAGGTGCATCTGCTTGTCTGTGTTCCTCCTAAACCCAGGAGGTCACTGAGCTTTTGGAAGGAAATCAGAACTGATCCTGACTTCTGGATTGAGCAGAATGAGAGGGGAAGGGAGTTTCAAATGAAGTTGCTTTGAACCTGGAAGGTGACTTCGCTTGAATAGCAGTGTCTTTGACTGGATCACTGCCATTATTTTAGGCATGGCAGATGGGTATCCATAATTTCCTTCAAGAAGAGAAAATTGAAACTTTTATTGTGAAAATAGGTGCATATAAGAATAATATGCTTTTGATGGTTAATCTAGTTATCCTCTTATTTTTCTTTGGCAATGTGAATTGATAAAAATTTATATTCTTTAGTTTGACTACTGGGATTATCTGAGCAATCTAAAAAATGTTCGTGGTCCTGTGGTGATTAATGAAATCTCTGATATCTATTTTAAAACTATGATGAATCTTTAAGTATTAAATTAATAAGAAGGAGGGAAGAGCTTTTAAGGAAGATACAGGCAATTTTTCTCTCTGTGCCAGTGTGCAACGACAAAAAACATCTCCCCATCTCTACTGGACCATTCCAGACTGTTAGAGGTCTCTCAGCCTTGCAAAACCAGTTCATACTGGTGACTGCTACACTTTCTTTTTTATAACCCTGTTCCCTGACACCTTTCTGTGCCCTGATACCTTTCTGTTTCCTCTGTACAGGATATGAAAGCTGGAGGGAACTTGCTAGGGTTCTGTCAGACACCAATGTCCCAGATGGGGACACAAGCCTTCAGCCGGACTATCCACGGAAGCTGGGACACCAGGTGAGGACGCTTGGGCTGCCTTCTGAACGTGCAGAAGGGCAGCCCTTCCTTTCTGATGCTGGCCCCAAGAGACAGCTCTCTCTTCACACAGGAAAGAGGGCTTGCCACAGGGCAAAATCTGAGCTGAGTCACAGCAACGTGAGCCCACAATGGCTCCACTGTAGTCAATTAAGTTATTTTAGATCTATGAAGCTGGCTGGCTTGTGGCACAGGAAGGCAAGATAGAAGCAGAAGTGAAAGGTCAGGAGGGAGTTCACTGCTCTCCAGTGAAGCACATCTCAGTACTGTTGACTGAAGGCAGTGCTGGAGGAGCTGCTAGGACATTTTTGAAACATAGATGGGGGAAAAAAACCCCCAGAGAATGACCTAAGTTTTAACTTTGTGCTAAAGTTAACTCTAGCAAGCAGTTATAAAACACTGGTATCCTTTTCCCTCAGCAGCTCACCATGTAAATGTGCTGTCAAAAAAGCCAGGGAGCATTTTCACCCTGTTACATCCATGATATCTGGCTTGTCCTTTGGAAAGGGAGCTTGAAAACTTGTTTTATTTTCTCATATGTTCTAGTGACAAGGTTTGAACCCTCTTATAGGGCTTGTATAGAACCACCTTGTACATGTCAGTGCCGTGCCATTTTTCAGGTTATTTTGACTTTTCTCTACTTGTATTTCAGATCCAAGAGCTGCAAATAGGTGGGAGGAATAAATCAAATTACGCAGCTGTTGACAGCCCTGTCCCATGGATGCCGGAGGTGGGTGCCTTTCTCCATCATTTTGGTTGAGGGTGGTTATGGCTACAGACCTGTACAGCAAAAATGAAAGGCAGGGAGGTATGGCTGGAAATTAGAAGTCCACTCCCTGCTTAATGACTCTTACAGACTTGAGTAATCATCTGGAAAGACTGGAGTATCAGGATTCCAGATAATTTGGTGTCTCCATGACTCCTCAAGGCTCCAAGCACCCACCCTCAATTCCAGGCAGCCCTCTACCTTCCTGAAAAGTGAAGTTTATTCAGGGCTGGCGTGTGTAGGGCCAATCATTCAACAAGCAAATACATGACTGTGGCACACAGAAGTGTCACACTGCTCTTGCTCTGACTTTTGCCATCCAACCCCTGCGTGTCATAGGTGGAGATTTCTCCACTTCAGTGGCACTTCCATGAACAGAGACCCTCTCTGGTGACCCTTGCAGGCTGGGGTAAACCGCTCTCTTTGTTTCCTTCATGCCTCAATTATTCTTTCCTCCCCTGTTCCCTTATCTCATAATTCCTCTTCAGATAAGGGAGCAATGCAACCTGCTTCTAATGAGAGGGACACCAGCCAGGGGGCATTTAGTTAATGGAGCCAGCTTACTAAATTCCTCAAGGTGATTAGAGACCTGCACAAATTAAGGAGCCTCTGTGACTCTCCAGGGAAGGGAGCAGGCTGCTGGCCCTGCACTCAGATCTCCAGATCTCACTGGTAATGGAGGGAGAGTGTATCCCTCCAGCCACAGCAAGGAGCAGTTCAGGTCCCTGCAACCTTGACTTCCCTGGCAGCAGCCAGCATCAGCCACCTTGCAGTGGCCAGAACCAGATCAGGCCATTGATGTGTTCTGTGTCAGAGCGTGGGCTCTGGAGTGCTGGGCCCAGCTGGAGTCTGGGGTCTTCTCCAGCTGCAGGGCCTTGCAGGCAGGGCTGCCTCCCTGATGAGCAGCTGCTGGCCAAGAGCCAGCAGGATGTCAGGGACAAGGCTGCTGCTGTGCCCAGGGATGACTCTGAGCATTTGCTGCTCCCCTCTCCCACAGCACTGGGCGATACAGGCCCTGTGTGGCATCTCCAGCTTCCCTGAGGCTTTGCCTTGTGTCTCTGATGCCCTCCCTAGAGATATCCCAAAGCACATAAATCTGGAGAGTGCCAGCTGTGGTGTGCAGTGAGCCTTTACCAGATTAGAGGTGCAGCTGGTGAGGTGCATGCTGTGGCCTGGACACTTTTCTCTGTGGCTGTATAAGGCAGAATTTCCAGCCCTTGCTGCAGCACTGTGTGTACCCAGAGGGTCAGCAGATCCCCCTGGCTGCAAACAGAGGCCAGTGGTTCACCAGTACCAGCTGCAGGAGGTGGAGAGGGATCCATGGAGACAGCTCTGTACAGAGCTGCTTGCTGTCCTCCTAACCACCGACTGAAATTTCTCTCAGCCTGGGGATTAAGTTTTTCTGTGACTCTGCCCAAATTAATTACCCTGGGTCTATAATCCCCTTGTGCCCTTCCCACAGCATCTCTAATAACTTAATTGCAGCCTGATTCCTGGGGCGAGGGAGACCAGGTTGCTTCACACAGGTCAGGGAGGAGGGCTTTGTTTGAATGGAGAGGCATATTCGTGTGTGAAAAACATAATTAACAGGGTTGCAGAGTGAGCTGGCAGCCAGCATTGCCAAAAAAGGACAGGTTTCAGTTTTCCTCTCTCAGTTTCAGGATATGAGATAGGGAGCTTAAATCTTCAGCCTTGGATAATGTGGTAGGAAAGTGTGCTCATTGGAAATCCCAAATTGAAGTTTTGCTCTGGCACCTGGGGGAAAGGAGGGTTCACCCTTGTTCCTGGTTCCTCAAGATGCCTGTGCACATGATGGTTGTTATTCTTACTGTCACTTCCAGGCACCAGAGCAGTCTTCCAGCTCCCAGCACCACACACTGCCTGCTCAGGCTGGAGAGATGAGGGGTGTTTTGATTCATTAATTCAGAACCTTGCCTGGCTATCATCAGGGCAGACCTGTGCTGCAGGGTGTGAGTGTCACCATTTGACACTGCTGTAGGTATGGGGAGGACTGTCAGAAAAGTGACTGAAAGGTTAGCCAGGCTGTTCTCATTTACCTCTGCAAAAGTATCTGCTCAGCTCAGAGAGGACAAAGGTCTGGGCAATGCTGGGGTGCATTTAGAATGTCCTTTCCTCCTTCATGTCTGCACAGCCTCAGGACTTCTTCTGTCTGCAGGGAGGTGTGAGGGATGCCCAGGAGCACAGCCCCTTGCAGGCAACACCTGTACAGTTGCACAAGTGCTGCACAAAACCAAATGATTTGGTAGCAGGACAACACTCCATTGTGCTGGAGTGTTGTCCTGCTACCAAACCTGCCCAAAGTGGAAGCATCCTTTCCTGGGAGGACTGAAAGACAAAAGCTATTGCTGCTCACTCTGTCTCTGCTGATGTCCCTGCCTTGTCTGCTCGTGCCCATCCAGACAGGGGGCTGTCTTGCTGACTTGTCTTGATGGATTCCCACAAGTGCCCAGCACAGCAGAGCGTGCAGCCAAGCCCAGCTGCTGGCTGCTGAATGTCACCCAGCCAGGGGAGCTGGGCCAGGCAGGAGGAGGGGCTGCAGCCACTCTGAGGAGACAGAAGAGTCTTACAAGCTCAGGAGTTTCTAGTTGGCAGCACAATGTCGCCTTTCTTCTGTGGCTCAGGCCCTCTCTGTGCCCTGTTTATCGTTCCCTGGGCTGTGTGCAGCTATGCAGCTGATTTGCCTCTGTGATGCCAAATCTGCCCAGGATAAAATTAGGGAAGCTTCTCTTCTCCATCCTGCTCCAGTTACAGGGCAGGAGGTCGTGTCTCTTCTGCTGCAATTCTCTCAGCTTTGCTGCTTGCCCAGATCTTTCTTCCCAGGTTTCCTTGCTCAGCAGGAGCCCCTGGGTGTGTGGTGCCACCCCCCAGATAGTTCTGACATGATAGAGTTTGGGCTAGGAAGAGGTCTGGGTTGTCTGTGTTCCTGGTCCTCCTCTATGGTCAGTTCTTCTAGCAGGGGGTGATAATCTAACATTTCTCACTGGAAGGAAGCAGAAATACCAAAGTCTTTTACTGCAGTGCTAGGACTGCAGACAGACATTTTTCCAGCATGCTCAGTGAGGAGGGTCAGGTTGGGGCTCAGGCCAGCCACGCTCCCACAGCCCTGGAGGGGCACAGCTGCATCAGTGCCAAGCAAGAGCCTAGCTGTCCCCTCCCTGCCCTTCTAAGGATTCAGCTCTCCCTTGCTGGGACAGCACTGTCACTGTGCCCATGACACTGTGCTCAGAGGGTGTCAGCCTGCCTGGCCTCCCTAGGGAGAAGAGCTCAGAGTGGTGTGCTCCAGGGCACACTGTCAGTGTGCCGTGTGCTCCAGGACACTGTCACTGTGCTGTGCTCCAGGGCACACTGTCACTGTGCCTGTTCTGGTGCCCTTGGTGTGTGACCTGTGCCTGTTCTGGGCCTGAGCTGGGATCATGCACTGCTGCTATTTCAGCAGGGTGATAAGCAACTGTGGAAAGGTGTTGGGACAGGGAGAAACCCCAAGGACAGGAGAAGCCCTCTAAATGGGAAGGCCACATAAAACCATCTCCTTTGAATACTCCTGGCTTCTATCCCTGGTTCTGGCCAAATCAGTCTATCCAGAATTTTCAAAGCAGATGTTTTTAAGGGGAGAAGGGGAACTTGTTGCTTGCCAGGTCCTAAATTTCTGTTTGCAAAACAGGGCTAGGTAGGAAGTCAAACAGAGGCCAAGCTGGGAAGTCAAATGCAGTATAACCGTGTTTTAGAATCATGTTCTAAAAGTCATATTTCAGAAAATCCATTGACATTTTTGTGCACACGAATTAGGAATGGTGGTGATGTTGCTCTATAACTGCAATCTGCAAAAGCCCCAGGCAGGAGATTTTTGCAGCATGTTGCATGAGAGGATACTCATATAGCAAACAGAAGAATTTCTCAGCTGCCTGTAATGGGCAGCTGTGAATTGAGTTGGAGGGACAGAGCTGATAGAGTTTCAAAGCAGCTGCTCTGCTGATGACTCGTGGGGGCCTAAAATTAAAGCCTAACTCAGTTTTCAATCCCAGAGCATCACTTTGGGCAGCCAGCACTTATCTGTCAATAATGTTCTTTTTTTCCCTTTAAGAGGAAACAGAAACTAAGTTAAGCTGCTGTAACTCAGCAGAAAATTTGTTGATTTAGAAAATATTTTGAAATCACATGCAAGAAATACTTATTATTTACCAGTTAATTATTTCTAGTAGCTGTGAGTGCAGGAAAGCAAGGTGATCTCATTAACTCCTGCCAGAATCTCCTCTCTGGAGGCTTTGAAAAGACTTTGTAGGTAGGAGTGTTGGGCTAGAAATCTCAGGAATTATATTTATAAGTATTGATGGCGTACCTAGTATACAGTGCTGTCTGCCTAATTTTTTATTAGGCTGCCCTCTCTCTAATACTGCCAAACTGCAGTGAAGTTTTGTATTGCAGTGGGACTGGTCCAAGTTTTACTCTGCAAACACTTGAGAAAGTATAGCCAGTCTTTTGGGATTTGCCTCACAAATATCTGGGTTTGCGTTTGGGCTGCCCCATGTCAAAGCCAGCCCGGCTTCCTTGCAGTCCTGAGCTTTGAGATCATCCCCGGGGTCTGTCTTTGGCAGGGGTGAGCTGCAGTGCCGGCCTGTCCACTGTGTGGGAGTGTTGTGCTATGTTTCATAGAGCTCTGAGCCTCCTGTCTGCCGTGTGCAAGCAACTCTCAAAAAAAAAAAAACCAAAAATATCCAAAAAACCAGCATCACTTGTGGGTAGCAGCAGACTTCCATAGGACTCAGCTTCTGGCAGTGATTCTCTGTGGGAGCCCAGCCTGTTCCTCTCACTTCATGTTCCCCACGAAGCAGCAGTTGTCATTATTTGATTTGGCTGAGAAAAGCAGTGTAAGACCCTTGGGTGTGAACCTGGATTTGGCCAAGGGGCACGGGACTGCACAGCAATTAAATTCCAATTCAGTGTTTGTCACGCTTGCAGTGATTTATTTGTATCTCAAGTTCCTGCAGAGTCCCAGGTTTCTTTTGGCTGCCTCCATCACCCTGAGCCCTCTGTCTGTCTCCACTCTTGGTTCTGTGCATTGCTCTGAGGAATTCCATCCACTTTGATTCACTGGTTTTCCTCTTGTCTGGTGGGCAGAATCCAGGCTGATGGATGTCAGCAGAGGAGGGAGGAGGAGGAGATACTAGTGAGGGGCATCATGGGCTTGCAGATATCCATCAAGCCCTGGCAGTGGGAACACCAGTGAGAGAGGGCTGACCAGAGTCCACTCCAGAGCAGCAGTGGTTGTGAATGTGCTTTGCCTGGCACACAGAAGTGGTTTTCACATGCATGACTAAAGTCCACAGCTTGCAAGGAGCATTACTGCTGTGGAGCCAAATCTGCTTCACAGCCTTCCTTCAAGCCACAGTTTATTTCAAAACACACCCCAACCCACTATCCTGGGAAAAATAACTCAGTGAGGAAGTTTCTCTGGCAGAAGTGCACAGAGAGGTTGGACCCTCCTCCACTGTGCTGCTTCAGGCCTGCTAGAGCCTCCCCAGCAAAAACTAAGAATTTGCTGCCATCTGTAGACATTTGGGTGCTGTTCAGGCTGTTTCCCCAGCCCTGCTCCCACAGCCCTTATATAGGCAAGGCAGCCACGGCAAAACCTCCCCAGTCCCAAGGCAACCTATTCCTTTCTTCAGCGTTTTGCCATCTAAGGTAGCTTGTACTGTCTCCAGCTTATTTATTCTTCACTGCTGGATGCCAGTCCTGCAAGGAGAGTTTCAGTATCCAGCTCCACTTGTTGCAGGGAGAAAGCCTGGATTTTACTGGGGAACAGACAGCAATTCCCTTCTGAATGGCTCTGACAGAAATAAAATCTGTCCTTTGAGGAGTGTGTTGCTGAAGTCCCACAGTGGCCAGCAAGCTTTTCCCAGCCCAGCTGTGCTCCAGGTCTCAGCTGGACAGTGGCAGCCTCTCCTGATGGGGCTGGCTGAATAGCAGGGACCTGTACTCACACTGCACACCCTCCTGTGCTGCCCAGGCTGAACCCCCACTTCCCTCAGTGTTCCTGTGTCTCTGCAGACACATGGAGGCTGTGCTGCCCACTGAGCTGCCTGTGCTGCTGTTCCCAGCTCTGCCAGGCCTCCATCTCCCTTCCCCACCATCTTCCATCAGCTTTACCTCTAGGACATGCTTTGAGAAGATGATCTGTCGTCTCCCCTCCTTAGGGTGTCCCCTCTTCCTCAGGTCAGGAAAATAGCCCTGAGATGGTGAGGGAATCCAAAACACCTTCTTGCAGAACATAAGATGTTACATCATGGAGAGCTGTTGCCACCCTGCAGCGTGTTCTACACCACAGCCTCAGAGCATAGCCCTCTGGTGAAACACCTCCTTGATGGAGCAGATCCCAGCCATGGAACTGAGACGTCCCAAGCATTAGCACAGTTCCAAGTGCCATTCAGCTGTGTGTGCCAACCCCACATCTTCATCAGATGAGCAGCAGTGCTCTGGATCCATGTCTCCTGCAGGCCAGTCCATCATAGCAAAGGAATCTTCCTTCACTCTCCCAAGCACTCCAGGGGCCATGGCCAATGCTGTCAGAGAGAGGAGGGACACAGGGGCTGAATGCAGCAGTTCATGGTGCCCCCCTTCTGCCTTCTAGTTCCAGGGCCAGGCCAACCTGCACGTGTTTGAGGACTGGTGTGGCAGCTCCATCGAGCAGCTCAGGAGAAACCTCCACTTCCCTCTCTTCCCTCACGTGAGTAAGACCATGACATGCACTGTCCTGCACTTCCCAGCTCAGCTTCCCAGGTGGATCACCCTGTTCCCTTCCCGTCCTGCCCCTACCTCCCTGTCTGACCTGCTTTTTGTTGAAATCCGCCACCTCCCTTGTGGTATTCACGTTCTCTGGAAAAATCCCTTCGCCCAGGATTTTTCTCCTGGGAAGCTGAGAAGCCTCAGAGAAAAAGGAAACAATTCTTATCTCATTTGCTTCTCCTGTGTTGTGCTCACATGTGGAGTGTGTTTGGAGATTGTTTACCCACAGGTGATTCATTGGATTCTGGTATGCATTGTTTTCACTCTTTGGCCAACCAGTGCCAAGCTGTATCGGGACTCTGGAAAGAGTCACGAGTTTTCATTATTATCTTTTTAGCATTCACTAAGTACCCATTCTGTATTCTTTAGTATAGTTTAGTATAGAATTATTTAATATAATATAGTATTATAAAGTAATAAACTAGCCTTCTGAGAACATGGAGTCAGGTTCATCATTTCTCCCTGCCACGAGGGTTCCTGCCAATACAATACTCACTCTCAACCACCTCCTCTGTCCTGCTGAGGGAGCAGGAAGCTTTCAGAAGGGTCAAGGGTAGCAGCTCTTCTGCTGCACAGGGAGGGTCATTTCACACATGCTGGCCTGCCAGGGCTCAGACACAGGCTGAAGGAGCCCTGTATTTGGTGCTGTCCTTCCAAGTGGCTCGGGAATGCCATATCCTGTCCCCACCATCTCAGTGCATCCCCCATGCAGCTTCTCCCTTCTCAACAGTACCTGCTCCATCTCATTTCTTACTTGGTTGGCTCTTTCATTCTGCCTCCATCCTCCTCTCAGAGAAAACCCTCTTCCCACCTGTCCCAGGATTTTTGATTCTTGCCTTCTTCCTGTTACATCTAAAATTATTTTTATGAATTTTTTCTTCTTCCATTTCAGACAAGAACTACGCTGAAGAAGTTGGCTGTGTCCCCAAAATGGACCAACTATGGTCTCCGGATATTTGGTTACCTGCATCCTTTCACTGATGGTGAGGGTTCTGATTGCCTTCACTCATGTCTCTTGTCACCTTCCCCTCCCTCCCTCCCCTCCTGGTGCTGAACCACTGGTGCCCTCACCCTGGCAAGCCCAACACCAGGTCCCTCTTGTGGGTGGAGTGTGTGACTGGCCATGGCCTTGGCGTGGCTGGAAACACATCTGCCTCCTCCCTGGTGAGGAAAAGCACAGGAGAAAGCAGATGGGAAATGCTAGATAATAAACAATACTGTTGTGAATTCACAGCCCCATGGTGGTTATGTGGCCACGAACAATCCCTAAGCTTTGCCTCCCTCCCTCACATAGCCAGGACTGTCCATGACATCAGTGATGTCCCTTCTGCTCCCCGGGTGCCTGAATGCCATCTGACAGCAGCTGACATCTGTGTCCCCCAGCTGCATGCCTCTGCTGGCACTCACCCTCTGTCACGGGCCCTGGCCTGCAGCTGCCATCCCCGTGACCTGGGACAAAGAGGGAACCTCAAGCACCTCTGTTTCCCTCTGTGGCTCCACATGCACATTCCTCCACCCAAACACTGCATCTCACACAAAATTTTGCTCTGTAAGCAAAAGGGATGTCAGGGGAGGCTTTGCATAGACTTCTTAGCTTTCCAGGTTAGATGTCAGCTGAAGCCAGTGCAGGAGGGTCACTTTACTGACATCTGTAAAGTTTTCAGTCACAGCAGAGTTACCAGAGAGGTTCAAAGGCACGAAGGTGATCATTTCAAAAGGGAAAGATGGTCTCACCAGGAGAAAGGGTGAAAACAGCATTTTAGAGGAGAAGGATCTGTTCTGTGCACAAGCCCTTACCCCAAAGCCTTACTTACTCCCTCCATCTCTTGACAGGGGAGTTTCAGTTTGCCATTGCTGCAGATGACAATGCTGAGTTCTGGCTGAGTCCAGATGAAAAGCCCTCTGGTCTCCAGCTGCTGGCCAGCGTAGGCAAGGTACAGTGCATGCTGCATGGCTTCTCCCATCAAGGCTTTAATGTTTCTGTGGGAACAGAGACCTTCCTGACTTACTGCTTCCTTGGACTACCCAGGTTTCTTTCCCTACCCAACTACAGACAGCATCAGCACAGGTGCCAGATGGGGTATGACATGTGATATCTTAAGCCACTTACCTCTTGGTAGGGCTGTTGGGAGTCCCTCATTCACAATTAAGGGGCTTAAATCTGTCCGCAGGTGATGGATTTCGCAGATGACTTACCAGGAGGAATTGGAGGGAAGAGGGAGTTAAATTTTCCTTTTTTATCATTGTCAGTGCAGTAAAAGGGAAGAAACTCATCTTAACTAGAGCCATCTTCTGTCCCTTCACAGACGGGGAAGGAGTGGACCGCACCAGGAGAGTTTGGGAAATTTCACAGCCAGAAGTCAAACATGGTGAGGTGAGTGGGCAAAGTCCCTCAGTCCCAGCCACCTCTGCACATGACCAGGAAATCACAAGGATAAGGGAAAAGCACTCAGGCTTGCCCTGAAGAGTTTCGCAATACAGAGAAAGGGATTACTCTGGGGTATTGCCAAAGCTTTGCAATTTACTGCAGGAATGCAACACTGAATTTTTCTTCCCTGCAGCAATCAACCACCAGCACATCCAGGCTCCCCTATATGAACTGTGTCCTAAGCTTCCTGCCTTGGAACTGGCCAGATTTCCTAGAGGTCAAAACCCAGCAGATGACACTGAGAGGGAGTTATTCAGAATTAACTGAGAAGGGTCTGGAGTGCTCCAGGGCCATAAGTGAAGCTACCTATCTCACTGTCAGGATCTGGATATTCTTGGCAGCACTAACCCCGCCTACCCTGAGAATTAGGTTGTTTCAGGGGTGTGGTTGCTCTCTACTCATTGTCTGCTGACAAGCTAAGAAATGTTCCTTAATGTCCCTGGTGACAGACACCTTGTTCTTGGCAGGTTGTCAGCGGAGGGCAGGTACTACTTTGAGGTGCTGCACAAGCAGGATGACAGAGGAACAGACCATGTGGAAGTAGCAGTGAGTCTGTGGAAATGGTGGTCCTGTATATGTGTCCCCACAGAGCTCAGGAATGATGTTTGTAACCATTTCCCTCCTTTCCCTGGCCTCAGCTCCTCATTGCATGAGATGTAGCTAATCCCTTCCAGAGCCCTTACCTACTTCTGTGTGAGATAGTCCTGGCCATGTGTCAGGACCCCTTCCTCTGCTTACTTGGGATAGGTCTGTCCTCTCTGGGTTCTGTTGCAGCTTTTTGACCTTTCCTGGCTTGGATGTGTCCTGGGGAATCTCTGCTCATTCCCAGTCTTTTGCTGCTGGCTAAATTGTAATTGCTGCTGGTCCTGGTAGGGGTAGTATGTTCCTTTTGTTCAAGCTTGATTAACTCCATGGACACTTAATTTCAATATGTTTCTCTGTTCCAGTGGAGATTGAATGATCCAGAAGCGAAGTTCAAAGTCATTGACTCCCAATATCTCTCCCTTTTTGCTAGTAAGTATCTTCATCACAAGTTTTCCCAAGCACCTCCCCATTCTTCCTAAATGTATCAGCATCCAGTGTTTCACCATGAATCATTGTCTAGCCAGGCAAATACCAGGCATACAGATCATTGGGAGAAAAAGGTGGAGACAGATCAGGAGAGACTTCTGGACAAGAGTGTGACTCATTATCGAACGTAGGAGAATCAGAAGTAAGATTGGAACATTTTTTCAGAGAAGTCTAGAGGTAGTGAAGAAGGGCAGAGAGGAGAGTCTGCAAAGGTGAGAATTGTTGTAGATTGAGAGTATCACAGGATGGAGATTGCTTGCTGAGAGCCAGGGGGAACATGAGTCCCAACACTTGGGAGCTGTGGGGGTGTGCTGCCAGCTGGACACAACCAGGGAGAAGGCGCTGCTCTAGCACTTCACATTTCACTCTGGGTCCTGAACACAACAGGATACACTGGAGATGATGGGGGATGCTGCTTTCTTCTGTCCCAGCCTCAAGTCTCTTTGAGTTGGTGTTGGATTGCTTCAAACACATCAGTCCAGTTACCTGTTTTGTAAACCCTTCTTAGCACATCAAGTGATGGTATTATCAGTTAAGAAGTTCCTTAGTCCTGTTTACCCTTACCCAGCTTTGTCGCATCACTTTCCTCTGCCAGCATTCCCCCTTTCCATATCTATTGCTGTTGCCTTCCAACATTTCTGGGCTTTTTTTCATACCAGCCCTTTTGTGCATGGAAGACTCCCTGATGTTGTCAAGGCATCTGTTTGCTGTGTCTTGGATTACAACCTGCTGCTGGATTTTCTGAAACATCCCATGTGGCTAGGACTAGGCTTTCCATTCGGTCTTCCATCTTCATCCTTCTTCCTTCTGCTCTTTTGTTCTTACTAATTGCCTGTAGAATAGAAGACATTCCAGAAGATCCCTTCATGATTGGGTGCAATGCTGCAGTCTCATTTTTATCTGTTGCCTTCTGTCCATAGTTTTTTCCCTTGTTCATATTAGCCTTTGGCTGTATTACATGACATCCCATTCTTTCTGAGGTCCCACATAGTTCAGTACCCCAAAGTTACACACCAGTGTCCTTGGCAGGATATTGCTTTTCCTTCACTGATATTTATTCAGTTCCCCTCATTTTTATAGTAAGATTCATGGAGAGATGAAGTCCTGTGAACAGCAGTAACCAAGGAAAAATGTAACCAATACCCAGTCTTGAGTTTGAGCTTCCTGTTGTTCTTGGCTTGCTGTGGGGCTTCATTCCCTTTCTGGAGTAACATCCTCCTCAACTACTGAAGGTCCTTCCTTTGCTCCTCAGGTTTCTCCTCCCATTCATCTCTCTTCATCTCCTTTGAAAAGAAACTTAATACTAATAATACAGAGGTGTCCAGTAGTTCCTGCCAGCATGGAGCCTGTTCAACACACTAGTGATGGTGTATTCAAGGCAGGAGGTAATTTTTGTCCACTCCTCATCACTGTGTGTGTTTGCTTTCAGTGAAAGCCATGTTCCCACCCCACAGCTCCTCTGTCTCCAGATTTCTGGGTCAGAGCCTTTCCTTTGCCTGTGCCAGAGACAGCATTAGTACCATGGATGCAATGCCTTTTGGAAAGGGCTGACACTGGAGAGAGGTGTTTTTCTGGACAAGGAACAATTAGCCCCTGTCTCCCCCTTGTGTTCTCTCTCTGGTCTCTAGACGAGACGCTTCTGAAGATGGATGAGGTTGGGCACATCCCGCAGACGCTGGCCACTCGCAGGAGCTGGGCTGCTGACGGTGCTGGCAGCAGGGTACACCCAGCTGACATGTTGAAGCCTGACCCCCGGGACACTCTTTATGAAGGTGAGACTTGGAGAGCAGCTGAGGAAGTAACTGCAGCCCGTGCAGGAGCACAGCTGGGAAGGATTGTCCTCCTACACTGCAGTTATCCAGGCCATGCTGTTTTATTCCTGGTGCAAAAGAGAGGGGCAGCTACAGTAGGAGACACTGTAAGAGACAAAGCACAGACTAAAGCCCGCTCCTCTTTCTTGGCATCCAGCTCAAACAACATCCCCAAGCATATTTTTGTGTGAGCATCTTAAAGGAATGTAAAGAGCTGAGCTGTGCAAGAAGGTTTGTTTAATCCATTCCTTAATATTTCACGTGGATAAATAGAACCCAGGCACAGAAGTAGCTAAGTTGGTGTGTGGCTGCAGCAGGGCTCCTCCTGCAGCCCTTGCCTGTGTGTTCCTTCTCTGCAGTGCCTCTGCTCAGCAAGTCTCGTGTGCGCCGGGCCCTGCCGGACTGCCCCTACAAGCCCAGCTACCTGGTCAATGGATTTCCTCTGCAGCGCTACCAGGGGCTCCAGTTCGTAAGTTGGATTTCTCTAACCTGCTGCTTGCCCAGGGATACACAAGGAGGAAGAAGAGATCCCTGACCTTGCCTTTGCAGGGAGTCTCACAATGGTTGAGGGTTTCCTTCTCCATGGCGGGGGCTGTAGTATGTGTGGATTGCTAAAGCCACGGACATCTCTTCAGGAGGACTTGGCCACCTCTCTCCCAGTTAGTTCTCAATGTTGTAGGACTTAAGCTCACAGTTAGAGAGGTGGACAGATGCTGAGGGGGAGGGTAAAAGGCACGTGCATACATACATGTATCCTAGCATGCTTCCGTCTGTCTTCCATTCTCACAGCCTGCTCCTGGACAGGGAAAGAGTGAGCAACTCCTGCTCCCTCCAAAAAGGGCTGGTTATCCTGCAGCTGTGTCTGGGTCACCTTGTGGCTGATGTCTGGCATTTATGAGGGTTTCACTTCATCTTTCTCTCTTCTTCACAGGTTCATTTATCCTTTGTTTACCCAAATGATTACAGCCGCCTGAGCCACATGGAGAAAGACAACAAATGCTTCTACCAGGAAAACCCTTATTATTTGGAAAGGTAGCATGCTGTAAATTTGGGGGTACTAGCAGGTTCGGGAGAAGCTTGAAGGCTGGAATTGGTGTGGAATTTCTTGCTCACTTCTGTAGGACTTTTTAAAATTCTTTAAGATCTCCTAAGTCTTGCAAAACATTAAAGCATTTATAGTTTCTTTTGATAACTTAAGTGAAAATATGTTTGGGTCTCAAGGGGAAACTACCAGCACTTTTCTTGCACTGTTAGCCCAGTAGCTGAGTCAGAGCATGTTTGTTCTCTTACATCAGGAGTGTATTCCCAGCAAGCTTGGCCTGCAAGTGGCTGGAGCCTCCTGATAGCTGTCACTGTGAAAGCCAAACTATGCTCACCACCAGGCCTATCTGGGGGAAGAAATGCATGTAACTCATCTTCGCTATTGCCCAGATCCCAGTGGTGGCCCCACAAGGGAGCTGCTACTTGCATGCTCTCTACTGCAACAATCAGACACCTTGTGCAAGGACTCCCAGCCATTCCAGGAGGACTTTTTTGCAGGATAAAAAGGGTCACTTTCCCAGTAAGATAGCTGATTATGGCCTCCCTCTGCTCAGGACCGTCTTCCTTCTTCCAGGAAAGGGCAATGTAACATTCATCAAACTTGTGTTTTACTCTTCTCTCTGCAGATTTGGATTTTACAAGTACATGAAAATGGATCGGCCAGAGAAGAGCCTGGACTCTGGAGACAAGACAGAGCAACCAGGTAGGGGCCCTTATGTCAGAACCCAGAGAATCCTTTTGTCTGTCACTTTTGTGTGTGGTCCTGCAGCACCAGCTGAAGGAAGCTGTTGACTTTCCATACCAAGGAAATCTCAGCCTTTCCCTGCCAGATTGCTGTGTCTGGGAGGAGGTTTTTGCTGCCACTTTTAGTTCCTTTAAGGGCAGGTTGGGAGCTCACCAGAGAGCTGCAGTAGACAACATGACAAGTCTCAGGCCCACAGCTTAGCTGAGGTGCAATTCTAGCAAAACAGCTAAGGGCAAAGCCAGACAGCTCCACAGCCTTTGGCAGTGGTGGGTGATGGGTGCTGAGGAGGCTGGTGGCAGCAAGAGCATGGCATATGTGGGAGAGCATCCCTGTCCCTCTGAGCAGGAGAGACAACACAGAGGAGGCGAGGAGTTGCTGCCCCCCTGCCTGGTGGGTGCCTGGGCAGGGAAGGCACAGTGGGAGGATGCCAGAGGTGTAACTTTGATTCATCCTGCAGACTCCCAGGAGGGGAACCTGGATGACCTGCAGTACGAGGAGCAGGATGTGGAGAGCACCAGTGCCCCTGAGCTCGCTGGCACAGGGAGGGCAGGGCCAGCAGGCAAGGCTCCCAGCAGCGTGTTGGGCAGTGACAATATCCACGAGGACTATTCCCTCCGGGAGCACCGCCGGCTCCTCTCGGTCATGGGTGATGATGCAGGAGAGGAGATACGGAGGAGGAGGACAAAAAGGTTTGGTATCAAATCAGCCATGCTGGCCTCTACCAACCAAAATCTCAGCCTGACTGGCCTAGAGGGAAGCCCAGTAACGAAGAGACCCCGTTTAAAAGCTGGTGTCAAAGACAATTCCAGGAGTCCTCCACAGCATGCCAGGGCTATCCAGGGAAGAGTGCCTCTCAGAAGGACAATCCCTCCTTCTAGGTCTGTGTCTGAAAGGCAGCAGTCTCTTGGCCACCCCAGGGACTCAGGGGTCACAATTCCCTACAGGGTAGGACCTCGAGGAGACCTCAGCACCACAAAGGACAGGCTGCAGCCAGCAGGCACCGTAGCAGCTGGGAAAGGAGGCCCAGTCTTTGGCAAAGCCAGGAGGCAGGCAGTGAGTGCTGCCAGCCCCAGCAAGCAGCCCAGGCTGCCTCAGTGGCTGAGCCAGGTGCAGTCCTACGTTGCTGAGCAGAAGGTGGCCAACAATGGGGATGTGGGTGAGGGAGAGGCACAGGTGGCATCTCCTTTGAAGGGCAAGTCTGGAGGAGCAGCAGAGGAAGAAGAGGTGGATGGGGAGCCAGAGGAAGAAGATGAGGAGGATTTTGATTACGTACCAGTGTTTGACCAGGCAGTCAACTGGGAGCAGACCTTCAGCATGAGCAACCTGGACTTCCATATGCTGCGCACAGACTGGATTGACCTGAAGTGCAACACCTCGGGAAATTTGCTGCTAAGAGAAAGGGAGGCCCTGGAAGTTACACGTGTCTTCCTGAGGAAGCTCAACCAAAGGAGTAAAGGGTAAGGTGCAGGGAGAAAACCAAGGGGCACTGTCCCAGAGCTGGTTTACCATGCTGCTTGGGGAATACCTGTTATGTGAGTAACTGGTGAGAATCGGAGGATGAACTAGATGTAGTAAATAAGATTTCAGGCGAGGAATCTGTGTAAAACACTGGACTTTAGGCACATTTCTTCTTCCTGAGAAATGGTACCAGCATTTGCTGGTACTCTTTTGATACATGATCTTGGTATGGTTCTTTTTCTTCTCAAGACTTACTATCCCTTCTGGCAAACAGACACACTTCCTCTAGCCTCCATAAGCTAAACAATCTAACTCCTGACCCTTCTGTTGGGTTGGCCTTAATTTTTATAATTTTTTTACCAGTCTTTTCTGGTTTCAGTTGGTGTTAATCTTCCTATACATAAGTGACCAATATCCTGGATGTTTTATGGAATGCATGTTACTAGCTTCTAATCCCTGCTGGAAGTAGGCTACATATTAAGATCACATTTGCTTTTTCAGGGTCACACCAGTCACATCCAGGTGTAACTGACCAGTACACACAAGATTTTCTCGTGTTTTTTAACTCACAAGCATTTGTTTTATAGCAGAAACTCTTGTTATGATCTGAAAGGGCATTTCATCCAGTTTTGGCCATTCTGAATCTACAGCTGCTGCCAGTTTTTACTATATGATTGCTCAGCCCAAACATGCTCCTTGTGCCAAAATCATTGTAGGTGGTGTTGAATACACTCACTATTACCAGCCCTACACAATCATTCAGACACACTTGTTATTTTCTGTGTCACCTTTATTTCATTTCTCTTGCCAAATATTTTCTCTTGGCTGGAATCCCACATCTAATCCCACATGCTTGTGGATTTAGGAGAAACAGGTGCTAAACATTCCCATGGAACTTTAGAAGCGGTGCAGCGAAGCAGGGGGGAGCTGGGGACAGAAAGGTTTGCGCTGGCCCGAAGGAAGGAGCCCGGCAGAGCTGCAGGGCTGGGGGAGGGATAGGGGCTGGATGTGCCCACTCCAGCTGTGTGTCCTGCAGGCGCTTCCAGCTGCAGCGCATCGTGAACGTGGAGAAGCGGCAGGACCGCATGCGGGGCAGCCGCTACCTGCTGGAGCTGGAGCTGCTGGAGCAGGGCCAGCGGCGCGTCTGCCTCTCCGAGTACGTCTTCGCGCGGGGCTGGCAGGGCAGCAGCAGCCACGAGGAGGACGAGAGGAGGATGAGGAACCTGGTGTGGGGCCGCCGGCGGCGCCTGATGGCTGCAGCAAACGAGCCAGAGCTGTGCTGGCCCCAGGGGTTTTCCTGGAACCACCAGGCCGTGGTGCACTTCGTGGTGCCAGGTAGGGGGATCTGCCTCCCCAGGACATCAAGGGCTGGCACGGTGGGTGGTTCCCATGAGGGCAGTCCTGGACAGTGGGTCTGAGCCAGTCTCAGCCATCTGACTTGGGTCACTTTCAATTTCTGTTGTCTCCAAGTTAAATACGCTCAAAAATACGGTAGGGCCCAAGCAGCCGTGGCTTGTAATCTCAGAGAAAGCCCCTGTCACATGGTGGGGAAGAACACACACTGATTCCTTGGCTCTGTGGACCAGCTTTTCAGCCTGGGCCTATTACATCATCCCTGAAAGGTTGTTGAGGTTTAACAGAAGGCAAAAAGCCTTGCGTGTTGAGAAAAAAACATCACCATTTAAATCAGTTTGCTTTGATTCTCTCCCTGTTGCAATACAACCAGTGAAGAACCAGGCACGTTGGGTACTGCAGTTCATTTCTGACATGGAAGAGCTGTTCCGAGTCACCAAGGATCCCTACTTCAGCGTCATCGTCACAGACTACAGCAGCGATGACATGGATGTAGAGAAGGCTCTGAAAAGATCTACCTTGCACAGGTGGGAGTACTGCTTGGTGACAAAAAGCCACTCACACACATAAGCCTGCAAATAGCACATTTGGCAGTCTCTGTGTGTTCACCAGCCACAGCCTGCTGCAGCTGGAACACCACAGACACCATCCATCCAGACCTTGCACCTACACAGTATGTTTTTGTTATGATGTGCATGCATATATATGCATGGAACACTGTTAGAAAAGTGTAATGTAATACCTAGTGTAGTCTTCCAGCTAAATTTATTGAATTTGTCTCTTTTTTCAAGATTGCAAGAGAAAACAGACAGCAAGTCTCCCAGTGATGGGGCAGGGGGAGGACAGAAAAGATAAGAAAGCTCTGAGAAATGGGACAGAGAGCGTGGAGACTTCTGTATGCTGGAGTGATCCTGCTCTGACCTGAATCAGCTTTGGCTGGTCATTTCCATTACTTGCCAGGGATTTCCAGGTCTAGTCCTAGGACAGAGCTGGGCTAGAGCTGAGAAGAGTTTTGCTAGGCTCTGTTCAGGGGCAAGACTCTCTGGGCAGACTGGGACAGGGAGCAGTGCTGGGCTTGTGCAGTCCCCCAGCAAAAGTTTCCTCTGCTTCAGGGAGTGCAGGGGGCAAGGGCAGCTCCATGGCCCAGTGCTGTGTGGTGCTGCCTGCCATGCCTCCTGTGCCACTGAAATTCCCTTTCCCCTCTGACCCCCAGCTATCGGTACCTGAAGCTGACAGGGAATTTTGAGCGTTCTGCTGGGCTGCAGGCAGGGATAGACCTCATAACGGTGAGTCTGGGGGGCCTTGGGTGGGCAGGGGAGTTCGTAGTGTGTCTGGTGTTGCCACTGCCTTTGTTACTGAACATGCTGGTTTTTAGGGAAGGGAATAGCCTAGCAGACCAGTTCACATGTAATGTTCTTCCCGTCCTTCCAGAGTAAGTCTCTTTATTCTGAGGAGTCTGTGCTCTGTTTGATTCTTGGTCCATCTGCTGGGACTGTCAGTCAGAAGGGAGGTCAGCAGTAGCAGCTTTGTGATCCTGGCTCTGCCAGGTCACAGACATGGTATTTCACACTTAACACTGATCAGCCAATGGACGTTTTTCCAGCCCTTGGGATCTCAGTTTCTGATGCAGTAATGAGATTTTGACTCCCATATTTCTGTCTTCCTGCCCTTCAATAAATACTTACTGAAAGTCAGCCTATTTTTTTTCCCAACCGCTACCTTTGGTTCCAGGACCCGCACAGCATTGTCTTCCTGTGTGACCTCCACATCCACTTCCCAGCTGGAGTCATTGATTCAATCAGGAAGCACTGCGTGGAAGGCAAGATGGCCTTTGCACCCATGGTCATGAGGCTGCACTGCGGGATGTCCCCACAGTGGCCCGATGGTAAGAGGGCTCAGACTTTGGGAAACGGGGAAAGAAGGAAGTGCCTGCCTCCTCTACATTTGTTCCTCTGGCACTGTCAGGTCCTGGAGCTTGAGGTACTTCCAAGTCCACAGGGTGAGTGTGTGTTAGACATAGGATGGGGTTTAACAGCATCAAGTACCTGGAATTCGAGATCAAAAGCTAGCAGAGCCCTATATCTGATGTTTCTCCTGGTTGTCTCCTAGGGCTCTTTATGGATTTGAGTACCTTGGAAAAAGTATCATTTATTCCTGTTTGTCCATGTCTCTCTTTTGTGAGGGGGCACAGCCTGTCCTGAGGAGAGCTAGAAGACCATGGATGAGGGAAACCAAGCCAAGTTGGAGGGAGAAAAGTGGTACAGTATAGGATTTCCATTAGACAGAAGTGGCCATCCTGAGTCATCTAGGCACAGGGACAACCCTGGGAAGCTGGGACAGTCCAGGAATTGTGTTGCCAGACAGGAGATGTGAGAGGCTCTGCTAAAAAGTTAACGGGACAGGCCATGCTGTCTGTCCACAAGCCGTTCTCATTCCCAAAGCTGGTTGGCATGGTTGGCTCTGCCTTGGTGCTGAGTTTACTCCCTGGTGTCAAGATTGTGCTAAAAGTAGCTTGAGTCTCACTCCAGCAGCTCTGCTGGAGCCATCAATGGTTCAGAACCCCAACAAAGCTGTGTGCCTATTTTGTGCTCTCCTCAGGCTACTGGGAAGTGAATGGGTTTGGTCTCCTGGGCATATACAAGTCTGACCTGGACAAAATTGGAGGCATGAACACAAAAGAGTTTCGGGACCGCTGGGGAGGAGAGGACTGGGAACTCCTCGACAGGTAGGCATTCACATTCACTGTCATTGTTCAAGTGCTCAGGAGGGGAAGCCCATCAGACCCTGCAGAACCAATGACTATGGGAGTAGGGTTCTAAGGAGGTTGAGATGACTACTGCCACGATAACCTTGACCTCAAACCTAGCAGGTGAGGAGACACAAAACACTCTATTGCAGCCACTAGTAAGAGAAGAGTTGTTTTCTGCTGCCTTCCAGCCACACTGCTGGTTGGTCTCCTGCAGATCAGGCACTGGTGATTGTGAAGACTTTGTCCTCTTCAGGCACTCAGAGCACAGTGTGATCCCTCACATTTCCCATATAACATTTAGCCTTGAAGACCAACTGGTGGAGAGGCATTTAAAGATTATGAGGTACAGTTAAAATTTCTGAGGTTTTTGTGAGGAGGGATGCACAAATCCTGGGCCTCTGGCTTTGTAGTTCTAGGGTTTGGGCCCTGTCCTGTCTTTTCTGTCAGCTGACTGCAATCCAGTGCTGCCAGCCATCTTTTGTCCTATCTTGGCATATGCAGGCACTCCTGACTAGTCCTGTGCTCAAGGGTGCATAAATACTCAGAAAGTGTCATTAGACTCCTGCTTATGGATACGGGGTACCCCTGAGCTATTGTGGACTATCCAATTTGCTTGCAGTCCCTTATCAACAGCACAACTTAAAAAGAGTTTTTCTGGGGCCGAGTCCCTCAGTGTCTTTGTCATGAAATTTTCCCTAAGTCTACTCTTCTGTCTGCCAGGATCTTACAGGCTGGGCTGGAAGTGGAGCGTCTCTCCCTGAGGAACTTCTTCCACTGGTTTCACTCAAAGCGGGGCATGTGGAACCGGCGCCAGCTGAAGACAGTGTAGCCTTCAACCCCAGAGCTGTTTGGCAGCGCTGTCCACCATCTCATCCAGATGTGCACTTTACTGGGGCATGCAGCCGGGTGCCCAAGCTCTTCCTCTGCCTCCAGAGACCTCTGATGGCATGGCACAGTTGAGGGAGGGGTGATCAGGCTAGTGGAGCGGGAGCTTCTCTTGTCAGCCGCTGCATGCGAGACACGGGATCCGCGTGTGGCTGGGAAGGCGTGCGGCAGAGGCGTCAAGGGAAGCACTTGTATTTCCTGCCATGCAGTCTGGTAGGAGGTACAGTGGGAGAGGTGCCCTGTTTCCTGTTGAGTCTTGCACCTAACAGACACAAATCCCAGCTAAGCCTAGAATGGTTTATGTAGAGCAGCGCAGCTTCTCTTTCAAAACTTGAGTGAAAAAAAAAAAGGCAAAGAACTCACAACCGTCCCCATTTCCTCTCCTTTGCCATCTATCCAGTACCCATGATTTTGGACAGGAGACCAAAGTTCTCTGATCTGTATTGCACCCACATGCCCATGTGCTGACTTAAGGAAATCTGGATGCAGAGGAGCTGATAAGCACTTTAGGCTGCTTTAGGTGCTTAGATGTTTCTCTGTGCTTTTCACTTTGGTCATTATGAAAAATTGTGCTCATGTTCAGCATATTATGGGCTGTGGATGGAGTTGCAAATACATTTCCCTTACAGGAGCCATGTTTGCCTGTAGCTGGGTGAGCTGGCAAGGGTGATGTTACAATTCCACCTAAATTATTGACACACTGCCTGAGGGTAGTGGAGGGGCTATACAGAGAAGCTAACAGAGCATCTCAGGAGGAACTTTGCAGCCTTATCTGACAGACATGTGTTTGTCCTAACAATATCAGGGAAACCCTAGCAGGGAAGAAGTGGCAATATTTTATTAGTTGAAGTATTGTGATTTGTCGGAAGAGGAGTCAGAGTCTTCTGCTCTCAAAATCCTGTACATTTATGCAGCATCTAAAAGTTAATTTAATAAGTTATGGCCTCACAGTTGTGTCTTGTCGTAGTTTGACTCTTAAGTATAGAGCAGGCTTCTTGGTTGGAGAACCAGCACAGCCATTGGTGCTTCATCTCTGGAACAGCCTTGGCAGCTCTGGCCTGGTACGAGGAGGTGGCCTCAGGTCTTGGCACAGGCACTGAGTGTAACAAACAGTGAGGACAGAAGAGCATTGAGTGAACAAAAGGATGGACAAACCCATGCTGTCATTGATGGAAGAACAGCTGGCCTGGTGCTACAGGGAAGTCTCATCCCCTAAAACTCTTGTTAATGTAAGGCAAGATTTTTTTTACCCTGTAACCATTTTAGAAGACTATGTAAACCCAGAAATCCCAGCTCACTCAGTGCTTTACACTGCAGCTTCAGTGTCCCCATACCATGCTAAGAAGGGCTCAAGCTTGAGGGGAGGGTGTGACATAGGATGCTGCTCATGGTGCTCAGTTCTGTGGGGAGTTGCTGGGAAGGAGTAATGGATGTATGCAGAATACAAGCAAAGCTGACTGATACTAGACTTTTTTGCTCTTTGCTGATGGAGTAGATGCCAATTCAGAATAGGCATTCATTTATTACTGTGTGGTGCTTGATGAGTCCATCAAGTTCCGCTATTGCAGTAGAAAACTGAACATACAAGTTCTGGCACGTGAGATAGAAATCATGTCAAATCATCTGTTTGCATCAGTCTGGGTTTTGTGAGTGATGGATTTAGAAAAAGTCAGCCAGATACCAGAAAGTTCTGCTGTGCAGTGTGCCGCTGTGGTGAGAAGTACACAGGAGATGGCTGTGTCTCTGAATCCATGGAGCCTTTGCCAGAATGGAGACACTGAATATCCCAGAAGAGGCAGCCTTAGCCAGAGTAGTCTTCCTATTGAGGGAAGATACTTTACCCATGCAGATACTAAGAAATTAAATCATGGCAGTTGTGGTGAGAGGGAAGAGGCTGACAACAGTCAACACTTTTTTTTTTTTTTTGTTTGAAGTGTTATAGGAGTTTGGGAGACCAGAGTCCTGTGATGCAATGTTGCAATAAGCTCTGCTTCTCCCTGGAATGTGCAGTGTCAGTCATGCTCTCAGTGCAAGCCAGAGCCTGTGCTTCCCTCAGACACAGGCACAGCTCCACGAGTGTGTAGGTGAGCTGCTTTCCAGGCTCCAGGACTGTGCCTGCACAGCCTGTCCAGGCTGGCTGTGTCACGCAATGCCTGTGGAATGGGGAGAGGCTGTCGGGAGGGCGAGTGCCCGGACACGGCCGGGCGTCAGCAGCAGCAGCTGTCTGGGCCCATCATGCTGGGAACACCACGGTGCCTGGTCTGCACATGGAGAACTGCTGCATTTGGTGGCAGCCTGGAAGTCAGGCATGGGAAGGAGGAGTTATTTGTACCTTGTCCTTTCACATCTGGCTGTGGATGTGGTCTGCAGCACCTCAAGTTAGCAGCTGGCATCCATCTGTGGACACTGGCAAGAATTAGAGGTAACTCACTTGGCATAAATGCCATGAGTCTTCCCCACCACAGAGGACAGCCAGGAAGAGTGGACTGGACAGTAGGGTGCATCCCTCAGTGCAGCACTGCCAGGAGAATGTGAGGATTTTGCCCCCATTTTTCAGCTGTGACTCTACTTCACACCTTGTAACCCAGGCCAGTGGTAAGCAGAACTACCTCGTGAGGACTCCTTGATGGAGATGTAAGGAGTTCCTGGTTTTCAGTCCAGTTTCCTAATGGCCAGTTTGCCCACTGTCAAAGCTTCCATCTCAAATGTTCTTCCCTTCCAGTGGGAATACTCAGTTGGTATCCAAGCAAGTAGTAAATGTGATTAATACTAATTGACACTAGCTGGCAGCCTCCATGGAGGTGCTTGAAGAGCCCATGGGAATAAAAACCGTCTTCCAGCCCACATGTTCAGAGACCTCACTACAGGGTGTAGGGAGAGAAGGGGCTCCACACTCCCCAGTTTGCTGGCCAGCAGCAAACCTTGCAGGAGCAGTGCTGGGCTTCACTCTGAGGCTGCTGCCCCTCTTCCAAAGCAAGCTGCAGTTTTTCTCCCCAGACAGAGTCACAGAGAGGGGGAGAGCAGGAAGCACAGCAGGAGCAGATCCCACAGCTATGCAGTGAAAGGACATGGCCAGGAAGCTGACTCCCCTCAACAGTTGGTCACATTTCTGTCACCAGGATCTTTTTAGGAAGCTGTGCTGGAGTTTCTGGCCTTCATGTGCATCCTGGCTGTGTCCTGCTTGGCCAGCTGGAGGAAGTCAGTTGCAGAGGATTTTCCTTGCTTAAGGCCAGGAGCAAGCTGCTCCGGAAGCTCTGTGGCTGGGGTATGATGGACAATGCTGCAAAAGAGACCTTCTCCAGGGTAGGATGTGACCAGCCTGGGGAGTCTGGGCCACCAAATGTGAGGTGCAGAGTAAGGGGGCTCTGCCTACAAATGTGACTGTGTATTCAGGACTGGTGCTCAGGCTTGCTTTGCAGGTCATCAAGGGAGTGAAGAAGGGCTGGCTTTTAATCTGAGCAAAGTGTATTGTGTGAAAATTATTACTTGTTTCATCATTGTCTTAATGTTTGCCCGGCATGAACATCTTTCCTCATTGCCTACAAATGTCTGAAGCTGATTGTTTTTTAGATACAGATGCCTTGTGTTGAAAATCTGACTTGTATCTGCCTTAAAGTGGCTCTGTGCCTTCAAGACGACTCCTGGGCCACCTTTCTGTTGGAGCTGGGGGACATACAGATTCTCCCTTGTGTTTTATAAATACATTGTCTTCCTACAAGAGCTCTCTTCTGTCTGTGTGTTCACTTGCACCTGCGTCACTGTGCAGCAGGAATTAGAATCCAGGTGTGCTCCTCTTGTCTTCATTAGCTGAAAGCACAGGCAGTACCAGGGAGATCACTCTCAGCCCAGGTCAGCAAGAGCTCTGCAGCAAGGGGTGAGTGGGAGATGCAGTGGGCAAGGTTAGCCCTGCTTCATTCCCCTCCAGATCTGTGGAAAATGGGATGGCAACAAAACAGTTTTCCTCCTGTCTACCTGGGTTTATCATGTGAAACAAGGTGGAAGCAGTGGACAAATACACATTCCAGCAAAGCATGATTGTGATGTGATGAGAGAATGTGGAAAACACAGTGGCTCTCCTGGCAAGCAGAGGACAGTTCCTGGAGAAGACCACAGGTGGGAGCCTAGACCTTTGCAAATGGGAGGTCAGCTCTTTCACAGCAACTGCTTATTTGAATTCAATTTTGGCCCATCTTCGTTTCAACTGTGCCTTCTTAGAGTATCAAAAGCTTGGCAGCAATGGGAGTCACACACAAAGAGGGGAAAAGGCAGCCAAGTTTGCTTATGAGTATGATTTCACGATAGCAAGAAATTAATATTAAAGGAGATGGAGGGAAAGTATTCCAGTGTGCTGCCAGCCTTTGCTTGCCTGGGATGAGTGGCAGGGAGCCCCCTCTGCTCATGCAGGCCTCATGTGCTGCCATACCCAATCCAGTAGCTCTCTGACACAATGATAAAGTTAAAATCTGGTAATGAAATTGCCCTCACTGCTTCTTTCCCATCTGAACCTTTTATATTTTCCCCTCTCTTTACGTTCAGTCATCAATGCTAATTACTTTGCCTCCTGCTCCATGAAGCAATGAGTGCTGGGGTTTGGGGTCTGTATGCAGGATATGTAATTTTTTACCTTTCCACAAACCCAGCCAGCCAGTAGTGGCTGACAGCCCTTGGCTTGTGGTTTTGCTGTGCCTACAACTCATTCCTCCTCTACCTCTAGAATGAAACATTTTTCTAAAGGAGGCAGGATAACAGGCTTCCCAGAAACATCCACCCCTCCCTGCTTCCAGTCAGAGCAAAGACTGAGGACCAAGTTGAGCAGCAAACTCAGAGTCACCCAGACCTGTCATCCCTGAGAAAAAGTGGAGGACAAGTCTCTGCCTGCTTCACCTAACAGATCTCAGACTGTGCTCAGCTTTACCACTTCAGGTTCTGGAAAACACATAACTAGTATTTTCCACCCTACCCTTATTATGCAACTTTCCTTCAGCTCAACAAAGTCACTGTCGGTTTCAGGTGCTGAGCTGCTGCTGGCCCGTGGCCTTAGCCACCAGTTGGTGGGCAAGATCATTCACACCCTCTCAAAAAAAGCACCACGTGTGACTGACACAAATTTGGTTTTGTAAAGACAAATACAGGTGGAAAGACAAATACAAATGAAATCTGTTTCTAACAGTCAGACACTCCCAGTAGCTCCTGAAGACTGATGTGAGGATGCTGTCATGGCATTTCTGTCTCAGGGGTGGCAAGGATATACAAAATGAGAAGTCCATATTAAACTCTGATTCTGCAGTACAATGGAAAAATCATTTAATAATCAAAAGAACATGTAATTATTCAAATAGGCTTACATAAGGCTATTAAAATACCATTTTTCACCATGACTATAGAGTTAAAAAATTTAGGATTGAAAACTTTTACTCTTTCATAAAAATCTTGAAACTTGAAACTCATTAATTCAAAGGATTTTTTTCTTACAGAAACAAATGGTTCTAATACAAGAGAATTACCAGAGTTGTCATTATAAACCAATTACATTTAGAAACATTTATATTAGTGATAAGAATAAATCATAATAGTGATTTTTAAAATAAAATAATAAGCTATTCAACTGTAATTCTTCATTGCAGCAGTAAGCCTAGGCTGTGTCCTTATGTGTAATGTTTCTTCATTTTCTATTAAGTATTGTCAGGCTATTCTGACATCATTCCTGGTTGGTCACTGATGATGACATCAGACCACAATAACTATTTTCTGTCCTTGTTAATATTCCGGGGCTGGAAATATCTGATTGTTTTCTTAACTATGTTACATTTAATTTTAAACAACTAGGAAAACATTTGAACTGGTTCTGGCTATCTTCATGTACACACACCATTCTATCCTCCTAGGAAAACTTATTTTTTAGTTTGAGAAATCCATTCCAACATGTGGGAAGTAAACTATTACATAGAATTGCTTTAAGGACATCAACTTATGTTTGAGACAAAAAAAAAAAAAAAAAAAGCTGGACTTATTTTAGTCTACAAACTAATTCATTCAGTCTTCTCTACCAAATGAGCTAATATACGTGAAGCAGGCAGCTAAAATAAGAAAAGATTTACAGAACTGCACTTTCAAAATGTATACCTGCTGCTGTTCCTGCACTTTTCTCTTGCAAAGTTTGCTCTAGGTTGGAAAGACAATATTCCTACCCCTCAGAACTGCAAAAGCATTACAGCAAGGGGCCAGTATGCTATGATACACACAGAGTTTTGAAGTTTAACCCAGTTTTCTGAATTCGTCCATGGGCTCCTGCTGAGGTCAGTGGAAACATGGAGGAGAGCTGCACTGCTCAGATCCTGCAGGGAAGACAGGAAACACTGGTAAGGTCACCTCAGGCTCCTCTGTGTGCAGGAGCAGTCACAGCCACTGCTCCAACCCACAAATGCCCCTACACATGTGGGGTGCTGCTCTTCATCATTCACCCCTCTCTGCATCCCAAACCAGCAATCCCAATCCCAGCAATGTTTCTGTAGAGGCTTTTGGCCTTTGGATCAGTCCTTACCATAGCTCTGTTTAGCTTTCTTGTTGGCTGTTGCCCTGGTATGTGGCATTTAAACTGTGTTTACATTTTGCAGGTCATGTAAACAAGAAATGTTAATTTTGCTTCTTGAGCTAAAGTGCTTTTGGTTTAAGAACATGTCATTCTCTCACTGATGTGACATGGAAACCCAGCCATTTGGATGAACTTTTATTTACAGGGCTTCCTTGAAAATGAGCATTAGGTGCTTAAAACAGTCCCTGCCAAACTACACTGGCTATTGTAAAGAGCTCTTCCCCCCCTGCCTTGCCCAGCACGTTCCTTTTCTTCTGCTCAGATGGTGCTGCTCTCTTGGGATTCCTCCCAGAACACACCTAGTTTTCTTCCCCAGCGTTAGCTCCCATCCACAGCTGCTATTTGTGTCTAGCATGAGCTCTGCAGCCTCCCAAAAACCACTTGCTGCTGATAAATCCCAGCAGCTGGGATGTTTGGTGTTCTTGCTTTAGAGACCAAGTGAGGAGAACTGCTCCTCCTCTGAGAGAATTTGTTCAATGGCTGCAGGTTTTTGTGGGACAGCAATGTGCCTCTGGAAAGGCTTTGTTAATTTGCCATCATCACCTTGCAGTGATGTTTTCTGATTGAAAGCTCTCCCAGGGCCTGGCAGTGATGGGAGCTCACCCTTTCTTACCTGAGTCCATTGCCCCATGAGTTAATAAGGTCCAAAATTCCTGCCAGGGTAGAGGCCTGTCTTCTGCACCCCGAAGGCTGTGATGAAGATGTTGAGGATGACTGTGATGAAGATGAGAGTTGTGGCAGCGTTGTTGAGTATATTCAGGCGGGGTTGCTTTGCAATATCATTCAGGTTCAGACGAGCTGTGCAATACAATGCAAAAAGAGAAAGGGGTTTGCAGAGTGACTCCAAGTCCCCCTGCTCCTGCAAGCCTCCCCTGCCTCATAAATGTTTGTGGTGCTGCTGAGTGTTGAGGCCACAAAGCAGAGGGAGTAGTCACAGGGATGCTACAGGAGCCACAGCTTGCTCCAGGATGAACATAGAAGGCTGGAGCAGAGAAAAAAATCATCTTGTTTTGATTTTTGGGCAAAATTCTTTGTTTTGCCGTGGAGGTGCCATGGTCCTGCAATGGGTCAACCCTAAATAGGGAAGTTGCTGCTGCACACTAGCCAGACACATGCTGTGGTCCCCCCAGCACTGCCTGGCCATGGGACATGGTGAGGGCAGGCTGTGGGACACAGGGTACAAGAGCAACAATGCTCTGCTTGCACTGGGAGGCAATTCCTCCCTGACACCCAGACCTGACCTATGTGGTGGCACAGCTATCAGCCCTGGGTACATGAATGGGGTCAGTCCTGGCTGATGGACATTGATGCCTTCAGACACAGCAATACCCTGGTTGCCAGTGCTGTCTGGCCAATAAGCCATGCAGACAGCAGCCATGCTGTGGTCCCTTGTCCCCTTTCTCCTCCCAGCTGGCTCCAGCCATCACAGCTGCCACCAGGAAAAGCTGTGGTGTGTATGACAGGGGAAGGAACATGTCACAGATTTTCCAAAGCCCCCAGTCCTCTGTCCCCCATAAAAACCCATGTAGGATATTCAGGAAAATGCAGAATTTCGCAGAGTTTTAATACTGAGGATCTGTTGGAGACTGAAATACAGCAACTCCTATATCAGATGGAACACTGAGCAAACACCAGCAAACCAATGCTGGTGTTAATGTACTGTCTGTAGGCCACTAGGAAAACTGTGGGATTGGTTAAATGTGAGGTAAATATAGGGAGTACCTCTGCCAAAATTGTTCTGTTAAGTCCCAGATGAAGTAAGATGTAAAATACAGCTAAAATGTAGTGTCTGCAAGAGCTGCATGAAGGAGCACACAACAGTAGGGGCAGCAAGAGGCCCATCTTGGCCAAATCCCCACTCTTTCACTGGAGCAGGGGATCAGCAGTGGGAAAGTGAAGGAAGAGTTGTGCTCCGAGATGTGCAAACGAGAAACAACCCACCCACCATTCTGTGTTACACTGACAGCCCTACCACCCACATCCAGCCCTGGATGGAGCCAGAGGGTAATGGTTTGGGGGAAGAAGCTTCTCCCTTCCACCCCCTCGCCAGCCCATCTACAGGGTACCCTGCCCCGCGAGGGTGCACACGCCTTGGTGGCCACCTTACCAGTGATGATAAGGAGAATCCCAATCATCACCTGGAAGAAGAGGGAGATGCTGATGAGCACGATGAGGGTGGCGTAGTACTGGAAGGACGTCCCCTGCTCCAGCACAGCTTTGAGCTGGGTGACGTTGGCCATGAACAGCGCCACGTCCAGCATGCTCTCTGCCACGCTCTTCTTGGTCGCGTAGTGGTTGATGTTCATCGGCCCGTTGATCCGGAGGTGAGGGTTCATGCCCTGGGGAGACAGGAGGAATCACATTGCTAAACCAACAGACGTATCTGTGTCCAGTGGGGTGCTGTCTTCGCCCTGGGGTTTGTCTAGAAAGCCTGGGAAAGAGTCAAAGTTGCATGCTTTAAAAGTGTTGAGAGTAGCCAGTCTCCCCTCACAGTTGCCTCACAGTATTAATAGGCACAAGATACTTGCTGTGATCAAGAGCTCAGCAAGGTTAAAAAAACCATGATATTTTTATGAAAAACAAGCTCATCCAGAGTTACAATAATGTAGATTATCCAAAAGCCAGGGATTTTGCAAGCAATATTAAATTATCTTCCTTCAGGACATAGACAAGACTCAAACTTACAGGGGATTAGAGACAGATCTTCTCTTTTGGTTGGGTGTTGTGTTTAATATCATTACCAATGATCTGGATGAGAGGATGGAGTGCACCCTCAGTTTGCAGGCAACACCAAGCTGGGTGGGAGTGTTGACCTGCTGCAAGGTGGAAAGGCTCTGCAGAGGGATCTGCAGGGGCTGGATCAAGGGACTGAGGCCAGTTGTGAGGTTGAGCAAGATGAAGAGCTGGGTCCTGCACCTCCGTGAAAGGTCACAACAACTCCATGAAGCACTACACACTTGGTGAAGAGAGGCTGGAAGGCTGCCTGGTGGAAAAGGACCTGGAGATGCCGGCTGAACATGAGCCATCAGTGTGCCTGGCAGGACCAGAAGGCCAATGACATCGTGGCCTGTATCAGAAACAGTGTGGCCAGCAGGACCAGGGAAGGGATCACCCCCCATACTGGGCACTGGTGAGGCTGCACCTCACATCCTGGGTTCCGTTTTTGTCCCTTCACAATCCAAGAAGGACATTGAGATGCTGGAGCAAGCCCAGAGATGGGCAATGGAGCTGGTGAAGGGTCTGCAGAGTAAGTGACATGAGGAACAGCTGAGGGAGCTGGGGCTGCTCAGCCTGGAGAAGAGGAGGCTCAGGAGGGACCTTATTGCTCTCTACACTACCTGAAAGGAGGCTGTGGCCAGGTGGGGGGCAGTCTCTTCTCCCAAGTGACAAGCAATACTAACAAGATAAAATGGCCTCAAGCTGCATCAGGGGAGGTTTAGGCTGGATATTAGGAAAAATCTCTCTTCAACAAAAGGCTTGTCAGACACTGGAACAGGCTGCCCAGGGAAATGGTTGAGTCACCATCCCCAGAGGAATTCAAAAGACATGCAGATGTGGCGCTTAGAGACATGGATTAGTGGTGGCCATGGCAGTATTAGATTAGTGACAGGACTTGATGATCTTAAAGGTCTTTTCCAACATAAACTATTCTATGATTCTATGATTGTCAGTGGCTGGGCTTTAAACTTCCTCTGAACAATTTTTGCTTGCTTATGTCTTACACAAGATGCTAAAGCAGATTAAATAGTCCATGGGTTTGTTTCTGAAACCAAGGACAGTGTTTCTTCAAAACATCAGCTCTGAAATGCAACAAGAGGGGTGGGATCTGTCAAACCTAACCTTAATTCCTTCATTAATCATTCAGGCAGGGTTTTTTTGGCAGTGGAAGGAAACAGCTGTTTACAAAAGCCAAATCAGCTGGTTGCCCTTGTTATAGATAGGTAATGTGATGGATTGGCTCTCGCAATTAAGGGATGAAAATTGTATATATCTTAAAAGAAGTTTTGTTGATAGATAGTTATCGTAGCATTGCCTGATGGATTACTCTTTAAAACCAGGGGTAAGGGCCAGCCTGTGCCTCTCTTTTGCTCAGGAAAGGGGGAGAGATTTCTTTGGGTGCACACTGGAAGTGCCTACATTCAATGGTGAGTTCTGTTTGCTCCTTTTGTACCAGATAAAGCAGAAAATGTAATCTTTCCTCCATGCTCTAGAGTGGCTTTCTTTGATTTCAGAAGGCAGGAACAAAGCCAGTGATTCTGGGAGAGCAGTGTGTGTGGGGTGTGTCTGATGCTGAAATTTGGGCTGAATTTTGGGAGGGGGTTGTGGCCCCAATCTAGTGGTCACACTGATGTGACAAAGACACAAGCAGGGAATGTGTCTGTTTTGAACTATTGGTGAACTGTGATCCTAACAAGGGGCTAGCTTGGGGTAGGAAAGGGATTTTGGTTGTTTTTTTTTTTTTTTTTAAATGATAGCTCAAAGCATTTAGTTCTTACAGTTTCTGACAGTGACATTCCTGTGGTTATGTGGCTCCTTTGCAAAGCCTTTCTTGCTCTGGAGGGTAGAAAGTGAAAGATACTGGAAGGAAGTAAAAGTAGAAGTCTGAAGAACTGGTAAAAACTCCAAGGCTTTGTGTAGGTGTTTGAGACTTAAATATTACAGTGTGGTATCAGGGGCAGAATCTCGAGGAAAGGAGACCAGCAAAAGGTCATATTCTATGAATGCATTTTAAAAACCTGTCTTGAGGGACTGCTCCCCCTTAGATAGCTTAAGTTACAGTGTGGTATCAGGGGCAGAATAGAGGCATCTTGAGGAAAGGAGGCCAGCAAAAGGTCATATTCTATGAATGCATTTTAAAAACCTGTCTTGAGGGACTGCTCCCCCTTAGATAGCTTAAAAACATGTGATCCTGTTGGAACAGAGAGGAACTAACACCAAATTGTGCAGGGTTGGTGATTTGATCCCTCTCATGTGCTGTTTTCCTTATTCCTGAAGAATCAGCCCCCCTCCTTGCAGCATCACAAGGCTGAGCATTGATAGTTTATCTCTGTGTAATGATGAGTGAAGGGTTTGAGAACAAGGGTGCTGTACAAACAGGGCAGAGCTGCTGTTAAATGAGTGACTGGTACCAGGAGGCTGAGACATCTGTTTGTGGCTGCTTACATGGGGAAAAATAAAGCAAGTCAGGAGCTCTTGTTGCATAAAAACACATCCTTCTTTTGAGCTGCCTTTATGTTCCTTTACCTGGAGTGGGAAATGGGGCAGAGTTGCAATGTCCTGAGCTCTGTGTCCCAGATGATCAGGCAGTGAAAATAGGCAGCTTTGACGTGGACTTTTCTCACATGGGTGAGTGTGATGGCATGTTCCCATCTGGGACATGAAAACACAGGCAGGTGCTTCTCCCCTGTGTGGAATAACTGGAATTGGAAAACTTTCACAATGGAAAAGGTGTGACTCCAGATTCCAAGTTCTGTCAGTCCAGGCAGATCCAGAAGGATCTGCACAAGGATGATGGAAGTTGGACACTAAACTTGAATCTGGGTAGCTGAAGATTACTGATGGGCAGCCCCCAAACACCCACCTGGCTACAGCCTCCTCTCAGGCAGTTCTAGGGAGCTTTAAGGTCCCTCCTGAGCCTCCTCTTCTCCAGGCTGAGCAGCCCCAGCTCCCTCAGCCACTCCTCATCAGATTTGTGCTCTAGTCCCTTCACCAGTTTCACGGCCCTTCTCTTGACACACTCCAGCACATGGCACACGACTCCTTATGATGCAAGGAAAAGTTACAGAGATCCAGGTATTTTATGGATTTGGCCCTCAGTGTTCCATATAGTCCAGCAGCTAGGAATGGAAGCCTGATGTCTCAAATAAGGAGAGGCTCAGACAAACCAGGAGTCTTCAGAGAGCTGGCATTTGGGTTAATGCTGGAGGAGGGATTTGCTTGGGATGCCAGTGCCATAACTGTCACCTGTGAACCACTGTTTGTGGGGTGTGAATGCGTGGCTGTGACACTTTTTTGAGCTGCCAGAACGCACACAAAGCTTTCCAAAGACCATTTCTGCTTTTGCTTTCTTTAAAGTTCAGTCCTATAAACTCCTGCAGCTCAGGAGCTGATTCACAAGCAGCTTGGGTTCCCCTGGAGGAGGATTGCCCAGACAGCTGTGGGAGTTTATGTGGTATCACTGAGGAGATTCAATGATTCCCTTCTGGAAAACAGAGCCTTAAGTGGAGTCACAGGACATACCTGAAGGCTCACCAAAGTGATTTATGCCACCAGGCTAGAGCTGGTGACTTTCTAGTCACTTTGAAAGGATTCCCCTTAGGAAAGTGGAGATCATTGCCTTTTCTTCTCTGTAATGTATGAAAGAACTGGATCTGGCAGTCAGACACCAAGCCCATCCTGAAAGCGTGGCTACAGAGCCAGCACATCTGCTGGAAAAGCACTTTTGTCCCAAGAGGAGGCTCTATCACTATTGCCCACTTACTAAGAGCAGGGAAATTAGGACCTGAACAATTCCATCTCAATCATAAAACAGTGCTGGATGAACTGGTGTTGGAGCTGCTTTCCTGTGTCCCATTTCTGGATGTTTTATCATTTCCTATGAGGCAGCCTTTCTCCCTGCAAGGACCCTGCTGGCTTCAGTCTGACCCCAGGCAAATCCCCTTTCCTTTTTCTCTTATGTAAACGTGGCACAGCAATACAGATCCCCTCAGGGGCTGAGTGAGACACCCATCTATGTTTTCTAAGTCAAAGGCTTAATTCTTACTCAAAAGTGTGCACATACACAGATATTTAACTCCTGCTTCTATTTTTGTTTTTAATTTTTGTAGGAATTTTTATGGAAAAAAGAATCAACATCACTGCAAAAAAATAATGGAATTTAAAAAATTTCTTTTCAACTTTCCCTCTGGTTTTGCTGTAGGGAGCTCTCAGGTTCCCAGGTCTGTGAAATCAGACTCTAGTACCAGAAGGTATGCTGAGCTCCACAACTGACTGAAACTACCTGAAAAATTTCCACTAAAATTAGTTTTCAAGAGAAATTCCTTGGGATTTTCATGCATTTATTTTTACAAGAAATAGCTACTCTCTTCTGTAAACTTTTGGAGGAGCTTCATCTAAATATTTCTTTCAAAGCTGGCAGATTTTGGGTCATGGGGAGCACAAACCTTTTCGAAATTTTCTTGGACAATTTCTACAAAATCTACAGTTTACTTGCCACATTTTTCAGATTAGGGGGAAAAAGAATTAGAGAGCAGATCTTATTGCAAATCTCTGTGTACTTTGTGGGTTTTGTGACCCTTTCCCCAGGGGAGAACAGCCTGAAAGAGGCAGTGGAACAGCA